AGGAATTGGCCTTGACATTTGTTAGTTGTAGGTACTGGGATTTATAGTTCACCTGTAATCAAAGAACACTCTGCACCTCACCGACTATGGTCTTGGACCTAACTTGGCACACAGAATCCCCATGACCAACTGAACATACTGGAGGGATTTGATGGGACTGACCCACCATGGTGAGAGTCGTAATTCATCCTCCAGCCAGAAAGCACACTGAACCCCACCGATGATGTGCAAACTTGCCCAATATGACAAACTTTAAGTATTAATGGAGTTTCAGGAGGTTAACCTGGCATGTTGTGAATTGTAAACTTACCCAACATGATGAACTTTTAGTATTGCTGGAGTTTCAGGAGATTGACCAGGCATGATGTGAGTTATAGTACACCCACGATTGTAAAATGTCTGAATGTATCTCCTTCTATGAACCATCTTGGAGGTTAAGATCTTCTGGGGAGGCACTGCTTTTGGTTCTACCTGCTTTGCAAAGGTGGTTGGTGGGGACAAGACACAAAGCCTTCTCAGTGGTGGCTCCTTGGCTCTAGAACTCTCTCCCCAATGAGATTAGATCAGTGCTCTCCCTCCTGTTCTTCAGAAAGAAATCAAAGAGATGGTTATGGGACCAAGCCTTTGATTAGTAAAGTAATGCAGTACAAGAAATAAATATGATATATGTGCAATCGAGATTTGGAATTGCCCTGGTCTACGAGTTTGGATCCTGTGATTTTAATGTTTATATTAGGTGGTTTTAATTTCTATGTTTTCATGTCTGAATGTTGTTTTGTTTTATGTTTAATTGTCTTATTGATTTTAATGCATAGTTATATGTTTTGTTTAGATTTATGATTTGGTTTTATATGTATGTGAGGCATTTAATTTTGCCATTATTTCTTGTAAACCTCATTGAGTTCCCCCTGGGATGAGAAAAGCAGTATATAAATACAGTAAATAAAATAAAATAAAATAAAACCACTTCTTCTAATCATCTGGGAAATGCTGGGTACCCAAGCTAGTATACAATAAAAAAAGCCCTGTGAAGGATTTAGAAAGTATATATCTGAGCATAGAAAGAATCTTGATTGCATGGTTGCACAGGCTACCAATCAATAACAAAAATAAAAGAAGATAAAAGCAGCGATTTGAGAGCATTTTGCTCTGAAGTCAGTGGAAGATTTTAGTAAAAATGGTACAGGGAAGGAAAATGATATTCAAATTGTAAGAGGCTGTTAATTAAAGCCAAAAAGGGATGATTTGTTTAATGAGGATAAAAGTGGAAGTAATGAGGCTTGTTTGCAGGAAGGTCTGTCAAACAGCATTTTCCAGTGTCTATGTTTGGTTGTGAAAGCAGGACAATGGGGAAAGCGTATAGGAAGAGAATCAATTCATTTGAAATGCAGCACTGGCAAAGAGTTCTATGGATACTGGCTCACTAAAAAGAGAAATAAATGGATCCTGGAGCAATCAAGCCTGAACTCTCTCCAGAAGCCAAGCCGGTTAAACTGACACTGTCATACTTTGACAATATCATGAGAAGACATGACTCACTAGAAAAGATAAGAAGGCTTGGTAAAGTAGTAGGCAGTAGGACAATAAGAAGATGGCATTACAAAAAGATAGATTCAATTAAAGAACCTGGGGCAATAAACCTGAAACAGCAGGGCTGTTGAAGCTACAGTGACTTGGAGGTCATAGGTCAAAGTCACCTTTAGGGCAGTAAACAACAACAAATGCTAAACAGCAGGAAAACATTCCAGCTACAGAAACACTCTGGCACTAGATCAGGCTGCTTTGGGAGTCCATGGGACCCCTTTCCTCTATAGCTGTCTTGAAACCCTAGGAAAAGGGGAGACACTGGAATGGTAAACTACATGCCAGCATTTTACATGTCCATTTTGAAATTCAGGGCTTGTAATCTTAAGGTGAAAAGTCATTTACCATTACGAAATGGTAAGGGTGAACAAAGTGTAGCACTCCAAATATGATTTGACTGAATCATCCGGGAATCCTCACCATTGGCTAGGCTGCTAGGGTTGATGGGAGCTACAATCCAACAGCACTTGTGAAATGGCACTTTCTCAGTAAGGATGTAATTGCTTGTTGGCACACTTGACTTTCCTTCGTCTCACACACACGTGTGTGCATACAATCACTGCAAGAGGTTAGCTTTAAGCAATTGCAAAATTAATATTTCGTCTTCATTCTCTAATATTGTCTGTGCAAGATCTAGCACTATATTTATGAGTTTCTATTTCTCAGAGTCTGTATGGTAAGCCATAAGTCTTTTGTGTGTGGATTTGTATAGGAAGAATTCATTAGCTGCTCAAGGGCAGCCCTTCCAAGTAAAATGAACAGATTCTGTTTGGTTATTGATTTCTTATTTCCATCGATACAATAATGCAATGTTTTCTTCAGCTGGATAATTCAGTATGGTTGAGTCACATACTAACCTGGTCAGTCATGTCCGGGAGTGTTGTATGAAGATCTCTATAACCATAAAGGCAATTATTATCCTATTCAGGTGTAAGTTTTGGAGCAGGCAGTCCACTTAATGATTAAATTAGGCTTCTAAAAATCCTCCTCACTCCAAGGGCTTTCACAATGAAAGTAAAAAGTTACAGAGAAGAACAACAATTTATGAGGTGTCTCTCTCTGCTCACACTAGGGCCATTGAGGGAGGGCTATATCGATAGTAGAATATTTTCTATATATACATGTAGAAGATTGCAGGTTCAATCCTTGGCCTCCCCAGCTAGTAGGATCACATAGCAAATAATGCAGTAAGCCCTCTGATTGGGACCTTGGAAAGCTGTAGCCAGTTCATGGTTTGATGGACCAGTAATCTTCCTCAGTATTGCCCTCCATATGCTCTTGACTAACAGTACATATCAGATCAGGACAATAGTGTGAGATTATGGGAGCTGCAGTTCCACTCAACATCTGCAGAACCACATCTGTCCATTTCTATGGTATAAGGGAGAGTGTAATAAATTTAAAATCCCTAAATCAAATCTGTTCTACCTATGATTTGGGAAATCACTTGGTCATATTAATTACTTGACTATTGTCACTTCAGAAGATGTTTCTCAAGAGTCACTGGGACTAGAACTATGCATCAATTGAACTGTGTGCTTCTGGGTTGTAGTACAAGGCTTCAGGTTCCACCTGAACATGAGGAAGAACTTCCTAATTCTGAGAGCTGTTCAACAATGGAACTCTCTGTCCCGAAGTATGGTGGAGGTGCCTTCTTTGGGAGAAATCTCGAAGGCAAGGTAGTCAAAATCACAGGCATGACTTAATGGATTGTGGACCTCAAATCAGAGAATTGTTTCCTTTGGAATTCAGATCAGGCAATGCTGCAAAAACAGTGAGGATCTCGAGCCTCATTTCTAGTTCATATTTAGGGTCTGAGATCTTGGGAGTTTGGATTCATGTTTTAAGAAGTTTCTATTGTGTTGTTTTTATTTATTTATTTTTATTTATTTATTTTGTATGCTTATATACCGCAATATCTCAGCCTACAACAGCGACTCATTGCGGTTAACAGTACTTAAAAACAACAATAATCAAACAATTTAAAAGCATAAAAAACATATACAGTACACAGTATCGGGCCACCAATACCGACCAATGCATCTCTTAGTTAAAATCATAATCCGAATTCATCGTCAATAATTACCAGTCCTTGTCATCAACTTCATCGCACCGGATTACCCGAATGCTTGTTCAAACATCCATGTCTTAAGTTTTTTTCGAAATACCAACAGCGAGGGAGCTGATCTTATCTCTATAGGGAGGGCATTCCAAAGCCGAGGGGCCACCACAGAGAAGGCCCTGTCTCTCGTTCCCGCCAGCCGCACTTCTGAAGCCGGAGGGACAGAGAGCAGGGACTCTCCAGAAGATCTTAGGGTCCTGGTGGGCTGATAGGCTGAGATACGTTCGGATAGATATGTTGGGCCAGAACCGTTTTAGATTCATATTCATGTTTTAATTCTTGTTTCCTGGATTTATGCTTATGTTTTGATTTTGGTTTTCCTGTAGCTTGTTTTGTGGAACAGATTTGGGCTGTTTGGATTATTACCTTTGGAGTACTTTTTCTTATTGCCAGTTTGGTTTGGCTTATTACTTGTTGACTATTTTCCCCATTTGCCTTTCTTATTTCTTAAGGTGACTTTGCCTTTTTATATGTATTTTCCCCTCAATAAACTGTCTTACTGTCACTTTTGAATTTTTGGCTGATGTTGAGGTCAAGGTGATTTTGGGGTGGGGTGCAACAATTTTTATTATTATCATCATCATGATTTCTATCCCACCTTTCTCCTCATAGGAACTCAAGCGGGTCATAATAATATGACACAATAATAATATAGGGATTGATATAAACAAAAGAAATATTCATTTAGAACACTATCTGACTATCCCACTTCCATTACCCTTAAGAAGAATATATACTAGGGCTAGGTTTGAACAACTTGGTATTATGATTACTGTAACATCCCAAGAAGTAAGAGATTCTGTGTATGGGGAGAACAAACAGTGGAAGATATCGAACATTTCTTAATTGACTGTCCAGCATATGTTGAACTGCTATACAGATATTTACATCCAATATTATCCAGCTGCAGGTCCCTCAACAAAAATGATCTTCTAACATTCATCTTGCAAGGACAAGAAAGAGCCACCATAATCAGAGTAAGCCTTTTTATTCTGAAAGCTATCAAGAAAAGAGCACATTTCCTGAAAGAAGAACCAGGACAATAAGACTCTTGACTGTAAATAAAAGATCAGCTACTGTCCTCTCCTTTTTGCCTTGTATTTTATTCACGTTGTATTTTGAAATGGTCATATGACTAGTCAAATAAATAAATAAATAAAAATTATTAATACAATTAAAATTACATTTAAAACTCACCAACCTTCCAAAATCCCACCCACAACCTTCACAGCAATAGTACCTCCCAAACATCTGGCAGCAAAGATAGGTTTTAAGCTGCTTGTAACAGGCAAGCAGAGATGGGGGCATCCTGATCTCCCTGGGGATGGCCATCAATGGGGAGTGCTTTGTAGTGCTCCTGCATGGCAGAGGGATGGACTGAATGCCCCTGGGGTTTCTTCCAACTCCATGATTCTCTGATCCCTCCAGGGAGGGCAGAGCTTGGGTTGGTGCTGCTGGTGCTGAAGGGACAGCTCCCTGCGGAGCTCAGGCAAGCGCCTCCTTCCTCCGCTTCAGCACTAAGGAGGCGGACAGCTCCCCGGTTTAAAGGAAGGCGGATCCGCAGGCGCTACAGAAGGGCTCGGGATGAATGGCGAGTGTTGGGGGCTCTTCCAAAGATTTCTCCAAGGTTCACACTGCTGGAGGGAGAAAGAGAAAGAAAGGAAGAGGCTGTCCTGAGGCTGGCCAACGCTGAAAGGCACCGCAGCCCTTCCTCTGCTCCAGGCGCCCAGGTAAAGACGGTGTTGGGGAAGCAGCAGCGAGAAACCCAGCAAGGAGAATGTATTGTCGAAGGCTTTCATGACTGGGTTGTTGTGAGTTTTCCGGGCTGTATGACAATGTTCCAGAAGCATTCTCTCCTGACCTTTCGCCTGCATCTATGGCAGAGATCCTCAGAGGTTTTGAGGTCTGTTGGAAAGTAGGAAAATGAGGTTTATATCTGTGAAATATCCAGGATGGGAGAAAGGACTCTTGTCTGTTGGAGATAGGTGTGAATGTTTCCATTGGCCACCTTGATTAGCATTTAATGACCTAGCGGTTTCAAGGTCTGGCTGCTTACTGCTCGGGGGAATCCTTTGTTGGGAACTGATTAGCTTGCCCAGATAGATTGTTTCTTGTCTGGAATTCCCCTGTTTTTGAGTGTTGTTCTTTATTTACTGTTACGATTTTAGAGTTTTTTTTAGAAATACCGATTAGCATTTAGCCTAGCAGTTTCAGGGTCTGGCTTCTTACTGCCTGAGGAAATCCTTTATTGATAGGTGATTAGCTGTTCCTGATGTGAGTTTTCTGGGCTATATGGCCAAGTTCCAGAAGCAATCTCTCCTAATGTTTTGCCTACACCTATGGCAGACATCCTCAGATGTTTTGAGGTCTAGAATCATAGAATCATAGAGTTGGAAGAGAACTCATTAGCCATCCAGTCCAACCCCCTGCCAAAAAACAGGAAAATTGCATTCAAAGCACCCCCAACAGATGGCCATCCAGCCTCTGTTTAAAAGCTTCCAAAGAAGAAGCCTCCACCACCACACTCTGGGGCAGAGAGTTCCACTTCTGAACGGCTCTCACAGTTAGGAAGTTCTTCCTAATGTTCAGATGGAATCTCCTTTCTTGTAGTTTGAAGCCATTGTTCTGCGTCCTAGTCTCGAGGATAGCAGAAAACAAGCTTGCTCCCTCCTCCCTATGACTTCCTCTCACGTATTTATACATGGCTATCATATCTCCTCTCAGCCCTCTCTTCTTTAGGCTAAACATGCTCAGCTCTTTAAGCCGCTACTCATAGGGCTTGTTCTCCAGAACCTTGATAATTGTAGTCGCCCTCCTCTGGAAACATTCCAGCTCGTCAATATCTCTCTTGAATTGTGGTTCCCAGAATTGGACACAATATTCCAGGTGTGGTCTTACCAAGGCAGAATGGAGGGGTAGCATGACTTCCCTTCCTTTCTCAGAGAAATGCTTTTGGAACATGGCCATACCATCCGGAAAACTCGGAACAACCTCAGCAAGGAGACTTCAAGGTTATGGGCTGGTCCCACCAGCTGGGCGGATTGGGAGTTGGAATCTAGCGGGAGAAGGATCTCAGGTCCCGAAGCCTGGCAGCAGGATGAAAGTGGAAAAAAGGAACTGGGGAAAAAGTTCCCCCGAGGGTTGTGATCCCGGGAGCAAGGTGTGCCAGGAGCGGGCCTCCTCCCCTTAAGGGCTGCGGCTCCTAAGTTTGGCCTTCTCGTCCGGAGAGAGTAAAGGAAGGCATGCCCTCAAAGCCCAGCCTGCCGCTGTAGCCCAGACTGCTTCCTTTGGTTGCCTGGTTTCACGGATTTGTTTTTTGGGAGAGACATTCCAGAGCAGAGAGGGAAAGGGGAGAGCGGGGAGAGAGGTTAGACTTGGAGGCGAACCTCGCTGTTTGGGTGCCTGCGCCCCGGCGGTGGGTGTGAGTGGGCAATGTTTCGCGTTGAGTGACTGCGAGGCGATAGCACACACACACACACACACGGAGAGACACATAGACACGCACTCACACGTCCACGGAGGCGGAGGTCCTCCCAGCTGCACCGCTGGAAGCTGGACAAGCCCTTCACCCGCTGCTCTCCGCCTTCCCTTGCCTCTCAGGACAAGCGCCGACGAGGTAAATCAAGCCGGTTGCAGATGGAGGGCTTTCCGGGCGAAATCAGAGCATTGGGGGGTGTTTTATTTTCTCTCTCCGTATTGCAGCGGATTAGAACAGCCACCCTGCGCTTCCTCCCCCCCCTCCCTCCCGCCCTGGTGATACATAATCAATAACAACAACAGGCACCAGAAACTCTGGGAATCGCAGAGCCTCCTCGGAAGTAAGCCTTGAGATGCGCAAGAGGGACTTGCTCCCAGGAAAGTCAGTCTCTTAGGCTGGGAGCAAGGGAAAGACGGGGAAAAGGGAGGCGATGCAACTGGCAGGGAGGCAGAGGACCCGAAAGACAAGCTTCGGAGATGGCTGAGAACCTGCCGACTTCTCTGGGGTTCCGATTTGAGGGTCTTGGGGGGCGAAAAGGAATGAGGTCTCCTTATCCCGAAGAGTTTGGTTTCCCGGCGTGAGGACCACTAAGCTGGGAAACGAAAGGTATATGTCTGGGTTGTTGTAGGTTTTTCGGGCCATGTTCCAGAAGCATTCTCTCCTGACGTTTCGCCTGCATCTATGACAGGCATTCTCAGAGGTTGTGAGGTCTGTTGGAACCTAGGAAAATGAGGTTTATATTGTCAGCATTGATGTATCGGTGTGTGTGTTTTCCGGGCTGTATGGCCATGTTTCAGAAGCATTCTCTCCTGACGTTTCGCTTGCATCTATGACAGACAGCCTCAGAGGTTGTGAAGTCTATTGGAACCTAGGAAAATTGGGTTTATATTGCCTGTGTTGATGTATCGGTGTGAGCTGGTGCTGGATTGGGTTGTTGTGTGCTTTCCGGGTTGTATGGCTATGTTCCAGAAGCATTCTCTACTGATGTTTCACCTGCATCTATGGCAGGAATCCTCAGAAGTTGTGAGGTTTGTTGGAAACCAGGAAAAATGGGGTTTATTTATCTGGAATGTCCAGGGTGAGAGAAAGAACTCTTGTCTGTTCGAGGTCCGTGTGAATGTAGCTTTTGGTTCAAGGTCTGGTGCTAGATTTTACCTTTGTAAGGTAATGGGGAAACCAGACTCAAGACAAGGGAAATGGAAAAGGAGCTGGGGGAAGGAGAAGGCTTCCTATCACCAGCACTAGCACTAGGAGATGATCTAAGGTAGTGGTTCTCAACCTTCCTCATGTCACAACCTCATGTCACAACAGTTCCTCATGTTGCGGTGACCAGCAACTATGAAATTATTTTTGTTGCTACTTCATAACTGGAGCTCCCGGTGATGCAGCAGGTTAAACTGCTGAGCTGCTGAACTTGCTGACCAAAAGGTCGCCAGTTCGAATCCGGGGAGCAGGATGACTCCCCGGATGGTCTTTGGTGACCCCTCTGATACACCCCTCACAACCCCCACCAGGGGTCCCAACCCCAAGGTCGAGAAACACTGATCTAGGGTGCATCAACAATGTAGAATGACCTCACAGACCTCACAACCTCTGAGGGTGCTTGCCATAGATGCAGGCGAAACACCAGGAGAGAATGCCTCTAGAACATGGCCATATAGCCCCCAAAAAACTTGCAACAACCAAGTGTAGAATGAATTGAGTTTGATACCACTTTCACTGACATGTGTCAATGTTGTGGAACCATGCTGAGACACCAGCACTCTTTAGCAGGGAAGGCTTAAGATCTTGTGAAGGTACAACTTCCATGATTCCAGAGCACTAAACCATAGAAGTTCAAGTGGTGTTAATCTGCATCCATTACAGTGTAGAATGGATAGAGATTGATACCGGGCTTTAGCACAGCAGGTTAAATCATGAGCTGCAATACATTTTGTCAATCAGGAGGTTGAAAGGCTGGGTCAGGATGAGCTCCTGACCTTTAGCCTATCTTCTGTCTTCTTAGTGGTTCAAAAGCAAAATGTGAGTAGATAAACAGGGACCGCTTAAAAGCAGGATTTTAAAGGCACCTGGAAAATGACGATGATTTATCAAAAAAGGAGGAAGTTTACAAACAAGGAGATGGAGTGACAGCACCCTCCTCCCCATGACTGGATCCGAGCACAAGCTTCCAGGATGCTGAAGATGGGAAAGCCTATATCCCTCAATCTATGTACAATTGTCTGCTTTGTCAAGTATATAAAAAGGCATTGGATGTTTGCTGCACATGTATGTTCTGTGATTGGGTTGAGACAGGTGAAATATAAATACTGTAAATAAATAGATGCACTCCTGGGTGCCAGGGAAGCAAGACAATCTCCACAGCTGAGGGGCTCCCATTGACCCTTGTTCTCCGCTTGTTCTCTTTCTCCCTTCTGCAGGAATGTAACCCACTATGCTGGTGCTCAGGTTCCTCAATGTGGTGGCTCCTGCCTATTTCCTGTGCATCTCCATCGTGACCGTTGGCCTCCAGCTTTTTCTTTTCATCCCCAGCATGTTCCAAGACCCTTCGGCCACCCCTCTCTTCTCCTCTGCTCTCCTGCACGGAGCCCTCTTCCTCTTCCTCTCAGCCAATGCTCTGGGAAACTATATCCTTGTGATACAGAACACCCCTGAGGACTTGGGTGTTCAGGAGGACCTGGGCTTAGCCAAACCAGTGGCCCCTGAGTCAGAAGAGGGTGGGAATGGGTACCCTGGTTCAGTGTTGCCTGCTGGCACTCACTTCTGCAAACTGTGTGCCAGAGTCACCCAAAGGCACGACCACCACTGTTTCTTCACAGGGAACTGCATTGGGAGCAGGAACATGCGGAACTTTGTCATGTTCTGCCTGCACACCTCTTTGGCTTGCCTCGATTCCATGGTGGCCGGGGTGGCTTATATTTCTACTGTGCTCTCCACCTCCTTTGCCAGCCCACTGGCTTTCCTCACACTTCTGCCTCACTCCATCAGCCAGTTCTTCTCAGGTAAGTATCGTCCATCTAACTGACCGAGCATCCTAGCTGCTTCTCTTTGGTCTCCCTTTTCCTCCCACACACTTCTTCAGAAATGATCCTTTCCCATGAATTCTTCTTTTTCCTCTCACTATGAGGAATGCTAGAGGGTGGAAGAAAATGGCAACTGTGTGATCTGAGTCCCTTCAGGGAGAGAGGCCGGGTTATAAATAAATATCATTATTATTGGATATTATTTGATATATAACAAGATGAGTACACAGTGAAGAAGAACACTATGCTGGCCTTTGTATTTGATCACACATCAGACACTTCCCAAGTGTCAAGGACTGTGTGATGTATCAGCAAATAATGTATGCATATCCAGTTAGGGTGGCCTTTTGCAGCTGACAGATGGTAATTTTGTCAGTGCCAATTGTTTTAAATGCAGGCCAAGGTCTTTAGGTACTGCACCTAGTGTGCCGATCACCACTGGGACCACCTTTACTGGCTTGTACCAGTAAATAATAATAATAATAATAATAATGCAAAAGGCCACCTTACTGGGATCTGCACACATTATTCGCTGATACGTCTCACAGTCCTAGACACTTGGGAAGTGTTTTCTGCTGCCCTGGAGACTAGGATGCGGAACAATGGCTTCAAACTACAGGAAAGGAGATTCCACCTGAACATGAGGAAGAATTTCCTAACTGTGAGAACTATTCAGCAGTGGAACTCTCTGCCCCAAAGTGTGGTGGAGGCTTCTTCTTTGAAGGCTTTTAAGCAGAGGCTGGATGGCCATCTGTTGGGGGGAGCTTTGAATGCAATTTTTCTGCTTCTTGGCAGGGGATTGGATTTGATGGCCCACAAGATCTGTTCCAACTTTATAATTCTATGTTAGTATATGGGGTTTTTTTAATGGAGAAAGAAAAAAGCAGATTCAACAAAGATATTAAAGATTATGTTAAGTCAGTAGAAAGGGAACCATTTCTCTCCTGCCCATCCTCCTTAAAATATTAGGATGTTTGGGTCTCAGTTCCTTTGTTACTCCCAACTGGAACACCAACAGAACTAACTGGATTTAATTATATATTGACTTAGCATTCAGAGGGATAACGAGTCAATGTGTTGGAACTAACCAAGAAAATTCCAAACATGGTCAGTTCAACTCATGTAGATCCATTGAACTTACTGGATTTACTTATATGTTGGTTTAACACTTTGGAGACATGAGAGAAGCCTCTCATAGTCTGGTAAAACATCCGGGTGTTGCCTGGGCAATGTTCTTGCAGATGTCCAATTCTCTCACACCAGAAACAACTTGCAGTTTCTCAAGACACTTCTGACATGACAACAAAATACTTCCAGTGTGGGGTGGAGGTTTCAATGGGTTGGAACTAACCAGCAGAATTCCAAACAAGGTCTGTTCAACTTTTTTGTGTCAGGAGCAACTTGAGAAACCGCAAGTCGCTTCTGGTGTGAGAGAATTGGCCATCTGCAAGGATGTTGCCCAGGGGATGCCAGATCTTTTGATGTTTTACCATCCTTGTGGGAGGCTTCTCTCATGTCCCCACATGGGGAGCTGGAGCTGACTGAGGGAGCTCCTCTGTGCTCTCCCTGGATTTGAACCTCCGATGTGTTGGTCTTCAGTCCTGCTGGCACAATGGTTTAAACCACTGTGCCTCTGGGATCCATTGAACCAGCTGGATTTACTTGAGTGTTCACAACATTCAGGCACGGGGGTGGGGAAAGACTTCAGTAGGTTGGAACTAACCAACAGAATTCCAGCCAAGGTCAGCTCAGGACAGAGGAAAATAAGTACATCTTTCTTTAGTGCATTGTCAAACTCTGGCATCCAGTTGCAAAATGTGTAAGATTTACTACAAAACAAGATTTAATGCAGTTAGTAGCCATCATGGCTAGATTTAGGAATGACCACTGACTTGAATGGCTTTGATCGGGCAAATTCATGGGCAATGGAGCCATCAGCGGTTTCTTGTCATGTTGGACATATGCTACCAGCAGTGTCAGAAGCTGTATGCCTCTGAATGCCGATTGCTGGGAATTGATAAGAGAAGACTGTTTTTGTGTCCCTGTCCTACTTGTGGGTTTCCCATAGGCACCCTGTCAATACATGTTGGAAAGAGAATGCTGGACCCAGTGGGTTTGGCCCAGCATGGCTATTATGTGCTGAAGATACTGGACAAAACCATCCTGAAAGAGAGGTTAGGGCTGACTTCAGGTTACAGCCAATGCTATGTATAATTTATTAGAGTCTAAGAAAAGCACCCAGCAGTCCTGAAGGGTGAGTCAATGAGAAGCAGCCCAAGGCCATTGTCTGCCTGAAAGGTTTAGTGCACATGGAACGATGGTGGAATGTTTGCATTATTATAGCAAGATACAGAGAGGTTGGTGGAATTGCTTGTTGAGGAATCTCCTTTCTCTAAAGTGAGGCACCGTGAGGCAGAGCTGTCTGAAGCAGCTGACTTGGAACATCATAAAAGGACAGCTGGATGGGAATATCATGAAATGACAGTGATCGTTGAATTTTTACTGCTAAGTGGCCAAAATAGCTTGAACAACCTTTTTGCACCTTGAATGTGTGCATGCATTTGCTGCTGCTGACTCCGGCAGTAGAATGTCTTGAGACAGTCCTGGATATAGCTCTTCACTGATGGACACTGACCTTGCCTCCCTTTTTTGCGGCAAGCACTGCAGTAGATATGTAACGGGATCATTATCAGAAGAAGAAAATATAAAATATAATTTTCATTTTAATTTCTGCTGAATTTTACTGTAGTCAGCCATATGTATGAAGAAACATCCATAAGATTGAATTCAGCCTACTTTTTTTCTGTGTCAGGAGCAACTTGAGAAACTGCAAATTGCTTCTGGTGTGAGAGAATTGGCTGTCTGCAAGGACATTGCCCAGGGAATACCTGGATGTTTTGATGTTTTACCATCCTTGTGGGAGGCTTCTTTCATGTCCCTACATTGGGAGCCGGAGCTAACAGAGGGAGCTCATCTGCACTCCCTGGATTCAAACCTGCAACCTGTTGGTCTTCAGTCCTGCTGGCACAAAGGTTTAACCCAGGGGTCCTCAAACTTTTTAAACAGAGGGCCAGGTCATAGTTCCTCAAACTGTTGGAGGGCCGGATTATAATTTGAAAAAAAAAACCATGAATGAATTTCTATGCACACTGCATTTATCTTATTTGTAGTGCAAAGACAAACAAACAAACAAACAAACTCAAAAACAATTAAAATGAACAATTTTAACAAATATAAACTTATTAGTATTTCAATAAGAAGTGTGGACCTGCTTTTGGCTGATGAGATAGGATTATTGTTGTTGTTGTTGTGTGCTTTCAAGTCATTTCAGACTTAGGTTGACCCTGAGTGAGGGCTGGGTAAATGACCTTGGAGGGCCATGTCTGGCCCTCGGGCCTTCGTTTGAGGACCCCTGGTTTAACCCACTGCGCCACCAGGGCCTCCATTCGGCCTACTATTATCCCATTATATAGAGCCTCCAGTGGTGCAGCAGGTTAAATGCTGAGCTGCTGAACTTGCTGACCAAAATATCAGTGGTTCAAAACCAGGGAGAGGGGTGAGCTCCTGCTGTTAGCTCCATCTTCTGCCAACCTAGCAGTTTGAAAACATGCAATGTGAGTAGATCAATACTCACATTACCTTCCCAAAACTCCCAGTGGTAAGGTAATGTTGCTCCATGCAGTCATGCCGGCCACATGACCTTGGACTGTCTACGGACAACGCTGGCTCTTTGGCTTAGAAATGGACATGAACATCAACCCCCAGAGTTGGACATGACTAGACTTAATGTCAAGGGAAAACCTTTACCTTTACCTTTACTACTATTATATTCACTCAGTAAGACTTTCTTCTGGGTCAGACATGCAGAAGATAGTGCTATGAATATTTGGTAGCAGAAGGAGACGAGGATCAGAATTAATGTGGTGCTATATAACACTTGCAAATGCTCTCCTGTCTGAGCTTTAGAGAAATTCTGATCCTGACCTTTCTGGGCAGGATCAAATTGGCCTTAATCATGTTGTTCTTCCTCTGCTCCAAACTTATTGCTATTCCTCCTACCACCATACCCTACTGTCTGTGTTCGGTTTCTGCTTTCCTTCTTCATGTTTTCAAATTCATCCCACTCTTGCTCTCTGTTCCAAAATTCAACAACAGAGCTAAAGGCTGTCACAATGAGGGAGTGCACACAATATTTATGCTATGCTTCAGTTTTGAAAAGGTCTGCATAAAATAGGATTTCCCCCACTAAACAGGCTTACTCATGTTGAATATCTCTAGCTTGATGACTGTACGACTTAGAAGAAAGCTTCAGTGTCCTCTAGTGCTTTTACTGCTTCCCTAAAACAGGGAAGGGAGAAAGGTCATGGGTTGATTATATTCAAGATTATCAGTGATAATTGTTGACTCTCATTCGTGTTCATGATTACTCTTTATTGTTTGTAGCAACTAAGACTAAATGGAGCCAGTTTGGTTGTTAGAGAACATAATAACTGCAAAGGGCAGATAAGGTCTAAAACATCAATTTCCTGGCAGAGCTGCATAAGGAGAGCCTCTCCTTGCAGTATTAAGCTATATAACTGCTTTTCAAGCCCCCTCCCAAAATCTAATTGCTAGCCTGCAACCAGAGTAAAGCCATGAATCAATAACATTTACATCATAGTCAACTTCAGTCATTCATTTAATATGTCTATGCTAATCAGGACTGGTATTGGATTTAGGCCATTGAAATCAAGGGGATTTATGCCAGCCTGATGAATAAGTACCATTTATTTTAATGGGTAGAGCCTGTGGTGGTGCAATGTGTTAAACCCTTTTGCCAGCAGGACTGCTGACTGATAGGTTGGCAGTTCAATCCGTAGGTTGGCAGTTCGAATTCGGGGAGTGAGATGAGCAAACTTCTCAGCTCTAGCTTCCCATGTGGGGATATGAGAGAAGCCTCCCACAGAATGGTAAAACATCCCCTGGGCAATGTACTTGCA